TTCATAGAGATATGGGGCTATTCAGATGTTATGCTTCATATTATATCTGTCTTAGTAAGTTATAGTTTTCAAGAAATGTTTCCATTTAACTTAGATTGTCAACATTGTCGGCATAAAATTGATCATAGTATTCTTTTATTTTCCTTTTAATATCTGCAGCCTGTAGCCACTGTGGTGATGAACCACTTTTACATGGAATATTTGCAATTTGTAATCCCCTCCTCTTTTTTCTTGATCATTCTAACTGGGAGTTTATTAATTTCAGAAAAACAGCTCTTGGCTTTCTTAATTTTTTCTATTGTTTGCCTGGGGTTTTTTTGGTTTTGTTTTTGTTTGGTTTGGTTTGGTTTGATTGTTAAATTCTGTTCTTACTTTTATTATTCTCTTTCTTCTACTTACTTGGGGTTTACTCTGTTCCTTTTTTTTTTTTTTTCTTTTTTACCAGCTTGTTAAGTTGGAACCTTGGGTCATTGATTTTACATTCTTTTCTTTTCTTTTTTTCTTTTTCTTTGTTCTTTTTTTTTTTTTTTTTTTTTTTTTTTTTTTTTTGATTTTAGACTCCTTTCTATCATGGGCATCTAAAGCTGTGAATTTTCCTCTAAGTACTGTTTTAGCTGCATCCCACAAATTTTGACGTGTTGTGTTTTCATTATTACCCAATTTGAAATCTTTTCTAATTTCCCTTCTGATTTCTTCTTTGACAATGGATTATTTGGAAATGTGTTGTTTCAAGTATTGGAGTTTTCCTAGGGATCTTATTACTATTGATTTCTAACTTAATTCCATTTTGGTGCCATATGCACTTGAAAAGAATGTGTAGTCTACATTTACTGGGTGCAGTATCTATAAGTATTAATTAAAACAAGGTGGTTGAGAGTGTTCTTAAGATCTATATCTTTGCTGATTTTTCTTGTCTGGTTGTATCAATTGCTGACAGGGTGGTATTTAAATTTCCAACTATAATCATGGAATTGTCCAGTTTTTCCTTTAATTCTGTCAAATTTTGCTACATGTATTTTAAAGCTCTGTTATCAGATACAAACACATTTATGATTACTGTCTCCCTGATAAAGTTACTCTTTTATCACTGTGAAATGTCCCTATTTATCTCTTGTTAATGCTTATCATCTTGAAGTCTACTTCATTTGATATTAATCTTATTCCTCTATACTTCTCATGTTTATTGTTTATATAGTATTTTTTAAATTACTTTCAACCTATTTGTGTCTTTATATTTAAAGGCAATCTTTTGTAAGCAGAATATAGTTGGATCCTTATTTTTTATTCATTCTCATAGCTTCTGCCTTTGAATTAGAGTGTTTAGTCCATTATCATTTAATGCATTTATTGATACAATTGAATTTAGGTCTACCACTTTTGCATTTATTTTCTGTTTGCCCCTCATTTTATTTTTGGGGTGTGTGTGTGTGTTTTTCTTCTTTCCTTTCTTATTTGGATTATTTGAATATTTTTTTAAATTATGTTTAAATTTATCTACTGGCCTTTTAGTTTTGCGTTATTTTGTCAGTAGGTGTTTTAGGGATTACAATATACCTCCTTCACTTCTCACAGTCTAATTAGAGTTAATATTGCACCATTTCATGAAAACTGTAGAAACTTTGTGTTCTTATATGTCCTCCCTATTCTTTATCTATAATTTTATACTTATTATATCTATATATATTATAAATCTCACAAGACAATGTTATAATTTTTGTTGTAGGCAGCCCTACATACTTCTAAAGAATTTATTTTTAAATAGCCCTTTATATTTACCCAGACATTTACCATATTCTTCATTTCTTCCTAAAGATCTGGGTTTCCATAAGGTTTCTCTTTAATCTGAAGAACTTCCTTTAGTATTTCTTGGGCAATAAATTCTCCTAGTTTTATCTACCATCTTTTTTTTTTTTTTTTTTTTTTTCATTCTTAAAATATATGAATTCTTAAAAGATTCAGAGTTCTAGACTGACAGTTCTTCACTTTTTCTTTTAGCACTTTAAACACATTGTTCTGCTGTTTTGTGGTCTCCACTGTCTCTAATGAGAAGTCCACAGTCATTATACTGTGTTGTAATGTTTTTCTCTTTACTTTTAGGATTTTCATTTTGTCCTTGGTTTTCAGCAGTTTGACTCTTCTAGGCCCAGGAGTGATTTTCTTTGTATTTATCCACCTTTGGGTTCATTGAGCTTCTTGAACCTTAGTCTATTGCAAAACTTGAGGAATTTCCTACCATTGTTTCTTCACCTTTTTTTTTTTTTTTTTTTTTTTTTTTTTTTTTTTTTTGCTTTATTCTTTCTCCTCTCCTCTGCTTCTGGGACTTCAATTATATGTGTGTTAAACCTTTTTATATTGTCCCACAGGTTCCCAAATCTCTGTTCATTTAAAAAATATATTTTTCTTTTTCTTCTTCAGATTGGATAATTTTTATTGATCTATTTTAAAATTCACTTACTCTTTCTTTTATTATCTCCATTCTGCTATTTGGCTCCTCCAACAAATTTTTTATTTAAATATTGTATGTGTTGTTTAAGTTCTAAAATTTTTTTTTTTTCCTTTTTGTCTTTTTTTCGTGTCCGGCAACGGATCGCAACCCTCAGTGTCACGCCCATACCGGACCGGGGACCGGCAATGGGATCGCAAACCTCGGTGCTGCACCCGCACCTCGCTCAGCCAGTGAGCGGGAACCGGTCTGTATGTGGGATCCGAACCCTCGGCGGGAGCGCTGCCGCACTTCCCAAGCGGCGCACTGTAGCAGTGCGCCACCAGGCAGGCCCTAAGTTCTAAAATTTTTATTTAGTCCCTTTATACTTTTTATTTCTATGCTGATATTTATTATCTTTACATTCATTGTGAACATATTTTTATTTATGCTCTTGACCATAGTTATCTTAGTGGCTCTAAAATCCTTAACTGTTAATTTCAACATCTGAGTCATCTCAGGATTGGTCTCTATTGATAGTCTTTTCTCTTGAGAATGGGTCACATTTTTTCAGTTATTCATATCTTTAAAATTTTGGGATTGTATTCTGGACATTGTAAATATTGTGTTATAGAGACTCTGGATTCTATAATATTACCTTAAAAATTTTATTTTTCTTTTCTATTCTTTGTTTGTTTGTTTGTTGCTTTGTGGGACTATTAACTTTACTCAAGCTGCAAATTCTGACTCTTGAGTGGTAACTCAAATTTCAAACAAGTTATTTTAGTCTTAGCTGAAACACATGTTGTGCATGGATGCTTCAGGGGTCACCCAAAAAACTGAGAAGAATTTACACACAGAATTAGGGATTTCACCTCTCTTGATTCCTCTTTTCCTAGACTCCCTGCTCACTTTCCAAAAGTTGTGGTTGTCCTAAGCTCTGCTCTCCAGTTCTTCAGACCAAAAAGACTCCATATTTTCTAGATGAAGTTTAGCCACAGCACCTGGCACCAACTCGGCACCAATATGGTCTGCCCTCTGGCTAAAAGTTACAAAGACATGTAATTCACCCTTTTTGCAACGTGGCAACTCCCAACCAGTATCTCCCTGCTATGTTTACTCTCAGTGCCTTCAGATCATTGTTTTTTAGGGGGAGGGGGTGCTTATTTTTTGTTTTTTATTTTTTGTATTTTGTCCATAGTTTCTAGTATAAACCAAAAAAAAGTGACCAATTCTCAATAGAAAAGACAATCATTAGAGACCAATTCTCTGTGGGAAGGTTGGGTCCTGCAGGAGATACTAAATCATAAGAGAAGCAGAAATCTCTCTCTTGTTCTTTGATTATTAACATAATATAAAAGTTAATTATGCTGAAATGTACACTTAAAATTATTAAAATGGTAAAATTTGTTATGTATATTTTGCCACAATAAAAAAAATTAAGTTAATCACGTTACCTAAATACCTAACTTTGCATAGGCATTTTAAGTTTAAGTTGGAAAACAATGCAACATGCCCAAACAAGATTTCAGTAATTTCATATGTAAAACAAAAATGCTTTTGCAGAGCCACTATGAAAAAAAGACTATATTGATGGTTTTCTGGAACACTGAAGTACAGAACATAAACCCACTAAAAGAAGGAAGATGAACGAGGTATTCTAAAGACACACTGACAGAACTTGGTCCTCTGTCTGGAGAAAGGGCCCCACCTATACATCCATGTCTAGTGCTTCTGTGACCTTAATGTGCACACAAATCACCTGAGGGTCCTGCAGTGCTTAGCCTTCAAGAGATCCTGGGATTTGTCACAAATCCATGACTTATATTTTACACGTGTTTTGAGTATCTGCAAAATAGATGATACAGAATGTGTGGAGTGGGAGACAGGTGAAGAATGGTGGGTATTTCTGTGGGGTGTAACCTGGCTCCATATAAGTAGGCATCTCATGTGAAGAATGTCTCTTTAAGTGTAACACTAACAAAACATCACTCTAAGAGCACAGAAGAAAGAGTGGCAATGTAGACCAAATTGATGAACATTTTACAGGATTTTAGTAAATATCTCAGTACAGATATACCCTCCTCTGCCAAACACCCCTCTTGGCTAAATTCCAGTGAATCCAGGTATTCTATAGAAGGGATGAAAAATCAGTGCTTCCTTATTTGGTGTGTACGGCAGACATCATTAACTGATCGTGATGTACTTCCTCACTGAATCTAGATTCAGAATCTGTCTGCAAACAGGATTTAGTGTCAGCAGTCCTATCTTAGAGCCTTTCTACCATGAGGTGGATAGCTGTCAGGGATGACAGCCAGTAATTCTCTTCCCCATTTAGGCAAAGACTTAAATGAAGAACCTAATCAAAGAAGTCTGGGTAAACACACAGCAATCCATTTCCTTTACAATCCCTAAATTATATCCAGCTAACAAAGCCTTTTGTGGACAAAAGTGGAGAAATGGACTCAGAAAATACTTAATTGCATATGGCTTTCTTGACATCTTTTCAGGAGCAGGGTTTACTGAGTGCTCATTTCCTGTGATCACATCCACTTTTATTTAAATAGTGCCTCCTCACCTGACAATTAATGCAGACCCCTCCACCTGCATAGATGCCTTGGATATTCAAGCTTGCCTGCTGCTGCTCAATATCCGGATCATAGTAACAATCGATGGCGTGGCCGTGGCAGTTGCATGCTAAAAAAAGCATACTAAGTCAATATTCCCATAATTACTATGAGACACAGTAAATTCTCCAGAAAGTGTTACCACTCGCTGAGCTACAATGAACTGTATTCTGGAACACTAGGGACACTCTTAGTAGAAAATTTTAGGGACTTTTACACAAAGACCAGCCTTAATAATATGTTATTTATAGCTCCCTTCATCTGATATTAAATGAGAGGAGCTTTTCTTTTTTAAAAAATAAGATATATAATTATAGCAAAAAAGATACACCAAAATACCAATTAAGCTTCATGCACAAAGAACATATTACTGCTATTACTACTACTAACCATAATAATTAAGCTCTTGGTACACTGTGAAAAGTGTTTTACATGAATCATCTCATTTAATCTGCACAATAACCCTCTAAGGTAGGTACGCCAATTAAGCTTCATGCACAAAGAACATATTACTGCTATTACTACTACTAACCATAATAATTAAGCTCTTGGTACACTATGAAAAGTGTTTTACATGAATCATCTCATTTAATCTGCACAATAACCCTCTAAGGTAGGTACCATTACCCCCATAACCCAGATGGGAAAGCTGAGGCCCAGAGAGATTAAGAAACATGCCGATTGTTACACAGCTCATACATATGAATGGCAGAATTCTGACCTGTTTTGTTTGACTCCAAAACCTGTAACTCGGCCAATACTCTCAACCTTTGATCTCAAGACTATAATAGTGATCAGTTGGGAATAATCCTGGTGTCTAATCGCATAGGAATGGCTAAGCAAGCAACAGTGTATTCATATCTGCTGGACTGTAAGTTCTTTTTTTTTTTTTGTCTTTTTCCGTGTCCGGCAACGGATCGCAACCCTCAGTGTTGCCCCCGTACTGGACCGGG